TTGGAGAAGTGGGGTCTCGAGATTGACTATCTCAGGGGACAGGGTTATGATGGCGCCAGCGCAATGAGTGGGCATGTGAGTGGAGTACAGCAACGCATGAAAGAGCTTCAACCCCGGGCCCTTTTCACACATTGTTGAAGCTATGCACTCAATCTTGTGGTAGTCCATGGATGTTCTGACATCCCCCTTATTAGGAACACCATGGCTACCATTGAGAATATTGCAGTTTTTCTCAGCATCTGCTGTCTGAAAACACATGTTACAAGAAGAACCAAAAGGAAGCATGGAAACACTCAAGTGTCAAAAGGAAAACAGGAGGTATACCACTCATGTCGGACACACGCTGGGGCTCCAGAGGGAAGACGGTGGGTGCTTTCCTGGATTACTTCAAATCAGCCCACTCTGCACTCACAGATTTGGAATTAAGAACATCATCAAACTCAAACAAGGCTAACAACCTACAACATAGTATGGAGTCCTTTGACACAATTGTCACGGCTGTCACAATTAACAAAATTCTAGGCTACATCCAGCCGTTGACTAAAGAGTTACAGATATACACCTAATATTGACCTTGACCGCATACAAAAAGGCCAGAGAGGTGGCTCAGGTCATTTCTAGTCTAAGGAAGGATTATGTGATATTTATGCAGTCAATAGAACTGGCCAGCACCATAGATGTGGTTCCATCAAAAAAGCGAGTTACCAATAGGCAGCAAAACAGAGCGAACACACCCTCACAGTCAATCGAAGAACACTACAGACTCAATCTGTTCTACCCTTTTATTGACCATGTGACAAGCCAACTGAACACCAGGTTTGTGGGAAACTCTGAGCCAGCCATGCTTGCTACACACCTAATTCTGTCAGCTTTGTCCAGACTCACAAAAGACAAGCAAGAAATGATGGTGTCATGGTACAGAGAAGACCTACCTCAGCCATTGACCAGGAGATTCACAGATGGAAGGTAAAGAACCAACCTCCAACACTCCTGGTATTGACGGCAAAAGACACATTGAATATGATAAATGTTACCCCAACATCCACTGTATCCTCTCCATCTACCTCACACTTCCAGTGACCACCTGACGTATAGTTTTGGCATTTGATAGAAAATAGCGTGATAATGCTTAAAAATGTGGCACTTCAAGAAATCTTAATTGAACCCAAAACATGATGCCACTGCCCTCACCATGAGAAAATTAACGCAGACACACGCAAAACACGAAAACACACACAAACAAACACATGTACACAACAACATACAATATTGATTTATATAGTTTCTTAAATAATTGTGTTTACTTGAACAATTGAATTAAACATTGGAAAATGATTGTTGACAATGTTTTGTGATCATTTTAGCCTCTTCTGCATGTCCAGATCATTAATAGTGACAATCAACTGATTCTTATGCATTACACTTTCAAAAAGAATTGATATTGCAGCCCACTGACTTGATTTGAAATCAATATATTATCCAATTTCGGAACCCCCTGAACCCCCTGAGAAGGTTTGGACCTCGGTATTTACAAAATCCTAGATACGGCCCTGTTACCAACAACCATTATTTTAATCACAAATAATGCATGTGTCAATGTAAGTATTATTTACGTTAACGAGGTAAATAGGCTAAAAGAAAAACATGTTTTCCAAAAGAACAACTTATCTCTTGAATGACAATATGCCTGCGCTGCACCTCCAAGGTGCGCAATACATTATTGCGCAATCTATGCCTGTGAGCGTGCTGCGCGAGCCGAGATGATGTGTGTGTGCGTAGTTGAACCTTTTCATATTTAAGTTTGTAGCAAGTAAAGGGCTGCTGGCAGGCCCGGACTGGCCATCGGGAGGACCCGTAGGTTTCCCCATTGCCTGGCGAACATTTTTTTTTTAATGTAGGCTATTGTGAACGCAACGTTGCGCAAATGTGGGTTTACCTCACACAGGGGGACAGTCTGTCGACATGATGTGGCCTATGTTTCATATGGGTGTTTCCATAGATCTAGTCTCTTTATTTCCCCCTCAAAATGCACCAGATTAATGCATTTAACTCAAAAATTTAAAAAATATCTTACCGGGGGGCATGCCCCCGGACCCCCCTTGAGGATTTGAGGTCCACCCCCAAAATATGTTCACATGGATAGGTTCCCAAATACATGTGCACATTTTTTTAAATAGTAACCCCTGTCCATATGTTTATTATTGGTGTGTGTTTGAGTTTGAGTGTTTCAAAGACCCCCATAGAGCTCAGTTTATAACTCGAACCCTGGTTCCCCCCCCCCCCTGTGAGCCAGCCGCGAGCATGGTCGCCGCGTCTTTATTACGTCATCACAACAACACGTTAGGTTACCAACGTAAGCCTGTTCTGACATTCGGTGATATTTTTTCGGTGCTAAAACCCTTTCGGCCGAAAGCCGAAAGGGCCTTTTTAACCATTTTCGGCCGATAATTTTCGGTGGCCGAATATTCGGTGCATCCCTAGTATTGAACAATACTATCAAAATAATAATAATAATCTAAATGAAAATACATCAAAATAATTATTTATCCGCCCGTTTTTTCAAATCTTCCTTTATCATTACATTGCATTTAGCTGACGCTTTTATCCAAAGCGACTTACAATAAGTGCGTTCGACCAGGAAGACACAACCTTGAAGAAAACAGAATCATATAAGTACATCAGGTTTCATAGAGCCACAACATTTCAAGTGCTACTCAACTGGCTTTAGATAAGCCAGTCCTTTATTAGTATATAAGTGCTTTGTTAATAGTTCTATCTCTCGAAGTGGAGTCGAAAGAGATGAGTTTTCAGTCTCCCCCGGAAGATGTGTAAGCTATCTGCTGTCCTGATGTCAATGGGGAGCTCGTTCCACCATCATTTTGGAGCCAGGATAGCAAGGGATGCATATTGTTGACTTTTTTACGATACCGATACCACTGAACGATACCGATACTCAACCGATACATATCGTGATACTTTGAAAATGTATCATCCCACAATTACTCCCATGAAGCGCTTTACGATATAGTTAATGAATATTCAATTCAATTGTGGGACTTCTTGGACCTTTTAGTTCTGAACAAACAATGAAAAATACATAAAAAATATGAAGAAAACCGATGATGGAATATCTTATATAACACCGGCCATCAGGTGTGCCGCGTGAATAGCACATCTTGTCAATGCAAACAGACCGTTATAGCACCGTTATAGTTAATGTTAAACCTGAGATTCGACTAGAGAACAAATACATAATAGAATAAAGGTCATGAGATCTCGGCATTGCACAAACAAACAAATCTCATCTTTAAAATCAGCATTTGCCTTCACTGGTGAGAGAAAACAAATCCCATCAGTTCATTTGTGGGACTTTTACCTTTCTAGTATTGAACAAACAAAAATACATAAAATATGAAGAAAAACGATTATGCAATCTAATTTATTACACCCGCCATCACGGGCCACGGACTCACTTTTAAAATTCACTCACTTTTAATATATATATTTTTTTTTTAAAGTATCGAAACCGGATCTGATTTCGCTACGGTATACCGTAGCCACCAGTAACCGGTATTTTGGTAATACCCTAAGCAAACCCACGTGTTTTTGCTGATGGGAACTTGGGTCCCCCTCGCAGCGAGAGTGCAGCGAGTCGTTTGGTTGATGCAGAGCGTAGTGCACGCGCTGGGGTGTACGGTTTAACCATGTCCTGGATGTAGGAAGGGCCAGATCCATTCACAGCACGGTAAGCAAGTACCAGTGTCTTGAAGTGGATTCTAGCAGTTACCGGAAGCCAGTGAAGGGAGCGGAGGAGCGGAGTGGTGTGGGAGAATTTAGGAAGGTTGAAGACCAGACGAGCCGCTGCATTCTGGATGAGCTGCAGAGGTCGGATGGCACATGCAGGTAGACCAGCCAGGAGGGAGTTGCAGTAGTCTAGGCGTGAGATGACGAGAGCCTGGACCAGAAGCTGCGTTCTCCTGTAGTCTTAATGTACGGAGGGTGCATATCAAGCTGGTTTATTCTCTTTGGTCTGACAACATTTATTCCATCTGGCAAATGAAGTGAAGCTTCATCTACATTTTCTTTTTACTTGGATTTTAAAATGTTGGCTGATTTAAAATCTTCAGTTTTCACAAAGCCCCCCCAAACAATTAACTCTCAATCAAACCATAAAAGAAGCACCAACATAGAACATATTCTTACCTAAGAAGGGTGATCACATTTTTTACATTTATTCCAAACTGCATCAAATGAATGTTCGATCAAGTTTATCATAACTTTAATTACAAATGTAAAGGCTGTGTTGACATTAGTTTAAAACACACAGCTTGTTGACTTATACGTACTGAAGCACTGGAAAAATGCTGCTCCAAAAACAAGTTAAACAATAATGAAAACAAGCTGTTTTCACTTGAAATAAGTAGAAACATCTGCCAAAGAACAAGTGAAAATGTGCTTGGTAAGATGTCTTGAAATAAGAAGGGATATTTAGATAAATCAGATCTTGTAATTAGCTGGAGAACTCATTTTGAACTTTCCCTTTCCGTCCAATGTGAAATGCTGTGGTGTCTTGCACTTCAGGGCCACCGTAATATTTGACCAGAATCAGGAGATGTTGTGTTTCAATATAAGTGCTCAAAGGTTTTCTGTTTTCTGACGTTAGTTGGTGATTTTTCTAATAAATATGTAAAAAAATGTTTAATCTGAGATACGATTCAAAATAAGATTATTTGACTTAACAAGATGAGGCATTGTCTAAAACCAAGACCTGATGTCTCACTGCAGTGCCACCTCTGAAGTTACTGTGTCTTATAGCAAGTGTAGAGACATATTCTGACTAGATATTAGACACATATACTTGGCTTAGTTTTTGTAGTGAGTAACCACATGTATCTGCTATTTTGATTAATAAAGTATATCTGATCTTAATTCTCTCATTCCCAGCAAACGCACTGAAGTGATTTGATTCTGTTTTTAACTTATTGTCCTCTGTGTTGCAGTTGTGTTTTGCCCCGTGTTTCCTCGGAGCGTTTATCTCGATCTCTGGCGCTCTGAACGGCCTGACGCTGGAGGACAACGTCACCAGACTGAAGAGGGTGAGGTTATTCACATCACGTTTTATTTCAGCGTTACAGCGAACACTCCTCACACCCTGCAGGTCGTGTGTGAGTTTCCACAGCAACTCTTTATTAAGAACTCTAAGTGTCTGGAATACGCAGGATGCAGAAATAGTCTCTAACCTTGTTTTGAGTTGTTATCCTCACATGAGTGTCCTTGGTTGAATTGTTTGATAAATCTGGGGCATGTGCCAGGGGATTGGGGTCAGTTTTACTCAAAAAACTCTTTCGTTTTTGGTCAATTTTCTTTCCACCAGAGGTCACATGTTCAGTGTTTAACCCGAACTGTCCTCGGTTCATTTCAAATTCATGATTGTTATTTGGAGGAGGAGGAGGAGGAGGAGGAGGAGGAGGAGGAGGAGGAGGAGGAGGAGGAGGAGGAGGAGGAGGAGGAGGAGGAGGAGGAGGAGGAGGAGGAGGAGGAGGAGGAGGAGGAGGAGGAGGAGGAGGAGGAGGAGGAGGAGGAGGAGGGGAGGAGGAGGAGGAGGAGGAGGAGGAGGAGGAGGAGGAGGAGGAGGAGGAGGAGCCTGAAGAAAATATCACTGAAAAAATGCTAAAATATTTAACAATAAAATCAAAAACAATACATTTTACAAAGATAATATGTAAAAACAAAAATGATGGCAGACACAAAGGGCTCTAAACATCTCATTTAGGGTTTCCAAATAAATAAATAGAAATGTTTTTTAAATAAATGTATAATACATGTAATGACTTCTCATGTCTTACATTTATTTATTTGTATTTTTTAATGTATTTATATTTTATTTATATATATTTTTTGTATTATATTTTTCTATTTTCATTTTGTTATAATATATAATTACTTTTTTTTTTTTTTATCATTATTTATAATTTTCTAGCTTTACAAAGACCTTTGTATCTCTGGCATATTTTGTCCCTTATCTCCTAAAAAAATAATCATTTCATTTTGCTTCCAGATTTACATTAAAGTTTTAAAGAATATAGATTTCTCTTTAATTTTAGTTGTTTTTATATCAAATATTTTCTAAGTAGGAAATGTTTTATCCCTTACCTGAAGACTTAGTGATATCATTGGCTCCTCTGTTATTCTGATTTGACTGGATTTTATTCTATATTTAAACCTGAGACTTGACTCAAGCTGGCTGGATTTCATCCTGGCATTTTACCTGTGTGATCAGAGTCCAGGTAGATGAGTGCACACACACACACACACACACACACACACACACACACACACACACACACACACACACACACACACACACACACACAGTTTGTTTTTATCTGCCCTCACACACTCACCTCTCATTATTATTAGAAGCCATTTCCTGTGATGGAGGAAGAGGAGACTGTGGAAATAGCTGGAGTGACTCATACATAGTGTGTGTGTGTGTGTGTGTGTGTGTGTGTGTGTGTGTGTGTGTGTGTGTGTGTGTGTGTGTGTGTGTGTGTGTGTGTGTGTGTGTGTGTGTGTGTGTGTGTGTGTGTGTGTGTGTGTGTGTGTGTGTGTGTGTGTGTGTGTGTGTGTGTGTGTGTGTGTGTGTGTGTGTCAGGTCGTTGTGTGCCAGCTGCTCAAACGTCCGTCCCGCCTTGCTTACCCAGCGCAGCATCAATTATTTACCAAAGGAGGCGCGGTGTTGGAGCAGAAAGGCCAAACTGGTAAATGTCAGAAAGGACAGAAAGTAAATGACGAATGCGCTCATTACAAACAGAGAACCTGGCCGGGGAAATGTGAGCGGAAACTCAATGGAGACGCTCTCAAAAAGAAAGTTAAACTCGGGTGCAGCAAGACTTCTGCCTTTCTTCTTACTTTCCTGGACTCTGTCTTCAGATTGTACCTTAAAGAAAGCAAAGACCTACACTCGATACCAACAGTTTTATACTTCATAATAGTGTTGTAGTACTCAAGACCGGTCTTGGCCTTGACTTGGTCTCGACCTCTTAAAGTCTTGACTTGGTCTCAACCTCTTAAAGTCTTGGTATTGACTTGGTCTCAACCTCTTAAGGTCTTGACTTGGTCTCAACCTCTTAAAGTCTTGGTATTGACTTGGTCTCAACCTCTTAAAGTCTTGGTATTGACTTGGTCTCGACCTCTTAAAGTCTTGGTCTTGACTTGGACTCGACCTCTTGAAGTCTTGGTATTGACTTGGTCTCAACCTCTTAAGGTCTTGACTTGGTCTCAACCTCTTAAAGTCTTGGTATTGACTTGGTCTCAACCTCTTAAAGTCTTGGTATTGACTTGGTCTCGACCTCTTAAAGTCTTGGTCTTGACTTGGACTCGACCTCTTGAAGTCTTGGTATTGACTTGGTCTCAACCTCTTAAGGTCTTGACTTGGTCTCAACCTCTTAAAGTCTGGGTCTTGACTTGGTCTCGACCTCTTAAAGTATTGGTCTTGACTTGGTCTCAACCTCTTAAAGTCTTGGTATTGACTTGGTCTCGACCTCTTGAAGTCTTGGTCTTGACTTGGTCTTGACCTCTTAAAGTCTTAGTATTGACTTGGTCTCGACCTCTTAAAGTCTTGGTATTGACTTGTTCTCAACCTCTTAAGGTCTTGACTTTGTCTCGACCTCTTAAAGTCTTGGTATTGACTTGGTCTCAACCTCTTAAGGTCTTGACTTGGTCTCAACCTCTTAAAGTCTTGGTCTTGACTTGGTCTCGACCTCTTGAAGTCTTGTTATTGACTTGGTCTCAACCTCTTAATGTCTTGACTTGGTCTCAACCTCTTAAAGTATTGGTCTTGACTTGGTCTCAACCTCTTGAAGTCTTTGTATTGACTTGGTCTCGACCTCTTAAAGTCTTGGTCTTGACTTGGTCTCGACCTCTTAAAGTATTGGTGTTGACTTGGTCTCGACCTCTTAAACTCTTGGTCTTGACTTGGTCTCGACCTCTTAAAGTCTTGGTCTTGACTTGGTCTCGACCTCTTAAAGTATTGGTCTTGGCTTGGTCTCGACCTCTTAAAGTCTTGGTCTTGACTTGGTCTCGACCTCTTAAAGTCTTGGTCTTGACTTGGTCTCGACCTCTTAAAGTCTTGGTCTTGACTTGGCCTCGACCTCTTAAAGTCTTGATCTCGACCTCTTAAAGTCTTGGTCTTGACTTGGTCTCGACCTCTTCAAGTCTTGGTCTCGACCTCTTAAAGTCTTGGTCTTGACTTTGTCTTGACCTCTTAAAGTCTTGATCTTGACTTGGTCTCGACCTCTTAACCTGTTAAGTCCCAAGCCTGTTTTTACTAGACTCGTGGTACTAGGATGGGTTAAATGCAGAGAACACATTTCACTCTGTGTGCTCTGCATGTGTGACCATTAAAGAGGGTTTCATCCCTCCCAATTATATTCTAATTATATTCTATCGTCCCCTTATGTGTAGATGCATTTATCTAATAAGACAAGAAACATCAAACAAGAAATCCTTGAATCTAGTCTAATTTAGGACATATGATGGCAAAAAAACAAATCATTATAACTGTAAAAAAGCATTTAACTTCCTTTTGATTAAGTTTAATTGGCAGCAGTTTGTGATTGACATCTAAGACACTGAAGTGAAATAACTTCTTGTTTACTGAAAAGTATTCATACTGCATAGAAACCCCTAGAAGATCTGAGAAACGTCCCGTCTTCCGCAGAGTGTGTGAGGAACTGTTTTGACGTGTTTGTGTGTGACGCAGCGATCACCTCAGGTGGCCCAGCAGCTTGTTTGGCCTTAATTAGAAAACAACAAAAAATATTAAGACTGGAACATTGGCTCGTTGTTTTTATATGTCGAGTCATGTTGATGTGACCTTTAGGTAGAGGACATGGGAAAGTTTGTGTGTGTGTAAATATATAAAAGGTATATGTGTGTTTTTATACCCAAACAACTCTCACACACACCTTTTGTATTTACTGTGGAGTTTAAGGTCAGCATCTAACACCCTTTGTTCTATTATTTGGCAAAAACTTGTATAGATTATTACACTTAAAGGAGCTTTACTAGATTACAGTAAGACTAATTTATTTAAGTACGTTCTATTGTTATTATTTTATATATTTGCTTATTTTTCAGCGTTGTTGGGCCACATTAACACTTTTTCTAGTCTAAATCTCTTCCTGTCACCTTCACATGATTTGTACCAACGTTATGATAATAGGCGTGTGATTAACGTTGGGGTTTATTTTGCAACTCAAAGGGAAATTGTAGATTTTTTTCACGTCAAGTATTTTAGCTTAAATGACTTAAAGCTGTGTATATGCATTATGTTTTACAGTTTTATTTATCTACCATCAGATAATGAAGAACAACAACATAAGTTACCATAGCTATGCGGATGACACACACATTTACGTAACAATTTCACCAGGAGACTATGCTCCAATTCAAGTGCATTGAACAAATCAATGACTGGATGTGTCAGAACTTTCTCCAATTAAACAAAGATAAAACTGAGGTAATGGTTTTTGGAGCCAAGGCAGAACGTATAAAAGTTAGCGCTGAGCTTCAGTCTGCAATGTTCAAAACAACAGATAAAGCCAGAAATCTAGGTGTAGTCATGGACTCTGACCTGAGTTTCAACAGTCACATTAAAACAGTTACTAAATCAGCCTACTATCACCTAAAGAACATATCTAGGATTAAAAGACTAATGTCACAGCAGGATTTGGAAAACTTGTCCATGCTTTTATCTTCAGTAGACTCGACTACTGCAATGGTGTCTTCACAGGTCTCACTAAAAAATCTATTAGAAAGCTGCAGCTGATTCAGAACGCTGCTGCTCGAGTCCTCACTAACACTAAGAAAGTGGATCACATCACTCCTGTTCTGAAGTCTTTACACTGGCTTCCTGTGTGTCAAAGAATAGATTTCAAAATACTGCTACTGGTTTATAAAGCACTGAATGGTTTAGGCCCAAAATACATTTCTGACCTCCTGCTAAATGATGAAGCATCCAGATCTCTCAGGTCTTCAGGGACTGGTCAGCTTTCTGTCCCCAGAGTCAAAACTAAACATGGAGAAGCAGCGTTCAGTTATTATGCTCCAAATATCTGGAACAAACTCCCAGAAACCTGCAGGTCCGCTGCAACTCTGAATACTTTTAAATCCAGGCTGAAGACTTTTCTTTTTGTCGCTGCTTTTAATTGAACTATTCATATCTTAGACTGCACTGTAACTTTTATCCATGTATTTTTTCTTTTAATGTTTATTTTATTAGCTTTTCTTTTTAATGACTGATTTTAAATGACATTTTCTTAATGTCTTTCATTTTTTGTAAAGCACTTTGAATTGCCTTGTGTTGAAAAGTGCTATATAAATAAACTTGCCTTGCCTTAATGCAGGTTTTAAAGGATTAAATACACACTTTTGTAATGTTTCAGAACCATGGACAGAGACAGAAGCTTTGTCAATTAGTAGTTTTTCCATCAGCCAGCAGAAAATGTAGATTTTGCACACTTTTTTTCATCTTCATTAAGAAGAAGATTGAAGAAGATTCAACTTATTGTCATTACGTAGTACAGGTACCATGTAACAAAACGGTGTCTCTGCATTTGACCCATCCTAGTGTTAGGAGCAGTGGGCTGCCATTATGAACGGCGCCCGGGGAGCAGTGTAGGGAACGGTGCCTTGCTCAGGGACACCTCGGTAGCACTTGGTCTTTCCGGGACTTGAACTGGTGACCTTCAAGTAAAATAAAGACCTCTCATACCCCCCAAATGACTCTTATATACTGTATCTACAGGGGGCTGATGAAGATGTCCATCACTACCAATAACTCAACCATTATTTGGCCATGTGCTGATATTTTTGGCTCTAAAACGTCATTGTTTTTGGAAAGAAACTCCACACCACCTTGAGCTTGAACACATCACCATCTCTCACTCCACACACCTGCAGGTTAACGGTTCTCTGAGGGAAGGTGTTAGAGGGCTGAACCTGAACTCAGCACGGGGCAGGAAGTTCTAATGTGTATCTGCAGATGTTTTCTATTCAAACTCAGAAACTTCTCACCAAAAGTGTGAAGCATTCAGAGAGAAATCTGATGTATGCTATAAGGACATTGAAAACCTTTAAAAATGAAGGTAAACCTTTGCATTGAAGTTCTTCCATCTTCAGACAGCAGCACAATATTTTCTTCTTTTAATTGAACTATTCATATCTTAAACTGCACTGTAACTTTTATCCATGTATTCTTTCTTTTAATGTTTCTTTTATTAGCTTTTCTTTTTAATGACTGATTTTAAATGCCATTTTCTTAATGTCTTTCATTTTTTGTAAAGCACTTTGAATTGCCTTGTGTTGAAAAGTGCTATATAAATAAACTTGCCTTGCCTTCTTCACATCTCTTACGCACTTGTTCAGGAGACTTTTTCGAAAAGGTGTGACTAGTTCCTAATTTTCTCATGATGCCTTTTCACTTGACACCTGAGAGCAGGTTTTGCCAAACAGACGTCTTTCATTGAAGGAATTGGGATCTGAAGAACAAGTTTTGTTTTATATTCCTGAAAGACAACTGAGAGGTTCAGAGTTTAGTAAACCCTACTCAATGTTCTCCCTATTTGAAATACAATGGACCTTGAAGAGCATAATCACCTGCTGCAGATTTGTGATTGTGACTTTGTAACTGCTGTTAATGCTTAAATACATCAGCTTTCTCTTAAATATTCTGTGTTTTAAAATACAGTATTTGTTCCTTGTTCACAGGACTACCCAGACGCCCTCATCTCAAATTACTATGTAAGTGTTTCCTGTAAATAAACCATTTTACTGACTCAAATGTTCCTTCGACTTCATGTTGTGCATCAGATTGTCTTCTCAATATTTCCTGTTTATGTTTTTCAGCTTTGGCCCGCAGTCCAGATTGCCAATTTCTACTTCATTCCACTTCACCACAGGTCAGAGTTCATATATATTTGATCATACAATGTGACTATTCGATGCATTTAGTGCTGCTGAGGTGTCTTTTCAGTGGTTTGCATGTCATGTTCATTTGTTCTGTTTTAACTTGTTATTTCTGCACGGATACAGATTAGACTAAACTAATGGTATTAGCATTAGATTCAAGTGGGGGCTGTGTTGCTTCTTACTCAAACATCTCCAATAATTCTTGAGCGTTGTAAAGTCCAAAATAAGATTTATTATAAAAAAGACCCATTTTTTTCATTGGATGAATCACTTTTTTTTCAAATTGTGGATTTTGTGTGGGATATTTCTCGTTTTGTTTGTTTCAAAAACCTCGATAGAAGCTTCGAACTTCAAAAATATACATGTTAAAGCCCTAAAATCTCATAAGAAGAAGCATTATGATTGTCTTTAAGTCTGTCTTGGTGAAAATATCAGACTCTTTTGTTATTTGCCTCTAAATAAATCATATTTCCTTTCAGGATGGCTGTGGTGCAGATAGTCGCTGTCGCCTGGAACTCCTATCTGACCTGGAAGGTGAACAAGATGTGAACCACAAGTCCAGCTGTCTACATGATGATGATGATGTTACACTCATTTGTAGTGTGTCTGTGTGCTTGTGTGTGTGTGACATGGTCTAACTTAGTTCTGCTGATATTTCCAAAGTGTAAAACTGTGACTGACTCATTATAAAGGTCGGGAGAAAGTGCTTGTCTACTCTGAATGACACATTCACACTTGAAAGTCAAACGTTGCATAAATGTCTGTGAAAGTTTGTTATTTATGGCAGTGGTGTAGCCACACGTACGCACAATAACACACACACACACATATTCACAGCCACTGCTTACAAAAACAGTTTTCTAACCTCTAATTCAACAATCGCTTGAAATAATGGTAAATGTTAATTTGTAAATCATTTTGTGTTGGGGTGAAGAAAATGTTGAAAATGATTTATTTTAGTTTACATACTGTAAATATAATAAAAGTTGCAATTTTCTTCCAATTCTGGCTTTCTGGTCTATTGACTGTGGGGAAAGCTTTAAAAAAAGAAACTCTCTCTGGAAGGATGCTCTTGTTTCACAGATCTATGCTGAAGGAAAGCTGATCATAATTGTGAGTTGAAACCACTTTAATGTCTGTACGATAATAATAGCTATAACCAGTAGCCGCTTAGCTTAGCACAAACACAGGAAACTGATGGAAGGAGCTAGCATCAGCAACTCTTAAGCTAACTAATATATAATTATCTTGATTAATCTGTGTTAAAACAAAAAAGTAATTGGTTCAACTTTCGCTGTAGAGATGCTGCTTGGTTGACTATATTTTGTATTTCATATTGGACAAAGAGGCTAGTCGTCCACTCTGTTTCCAGTCTTTGTGCTATGCTAAGCTAACACACTGATGTAGCTTCGTATTTACTGTACAGGTTTCACAGTGGCATCAGACGTTTCATCTCTTGAAAAGTACTGAAGTGAACATTTTAAACTACTCATTCAAACATTTATTGAACTATTTTCTGTCAAACTATATTTACTAAATAGCAGACAATCTAAATGAAAAGTAAGAAGGGGTAGCCTACCAGATATATTTTTCCAATTTGGTTGTCTTATTTTTGCATCTGATGAAAGTACAACAATTACAAATAAATACAAATCGAACACAAAATATCTCAACTTGCTAATGAGTCAACTAAAATGTGTAAACATACATAAATACATGTTTAAACTGTGATAGTGTAGTGGCTTTACTCAGTCAGGCCCGTACCTAGGATTTCGTAAATACCGAGGTCCAAAACATGTAGGCCTATAGGAGAGCTCGGGGGTCAGGCCCCCCAAAAATGTGTTGTGCACACTAAAGCATTTTACTCTGGGCTCAGCAGGTGGCAGACCAGGTGTTGGTGCTGCCGCATTTGAGACCCCCACTTTAATTGTGTCCTAGATAGTCGTACTGTCAACAAAATCACACTGGTGTTAGCTGTTCACCTCTAGTTTGTGCACACAAAAGCATTTCACTCTGGGCTCAGCAGGTGAGAAACTAAAGCGGGGCTTCCACATGAGGCAGACCAGGTGTTGGTGCGATAGTCGTACTGTTACCAAAATCACACTGGTGTTTGCATTTCACTCTGGGCTCAGCATATATACATATATTTTTTTGTATTATTCTTTGCCTTTCAAAAGCATTACATCATTATTTAGACAACACGAAAATAACTTAATGTAAAGTATTTATTTCACCTTCCCTTATTATACATCCATGGGTAAGTCCGGACTGCGGCTGTTTGTTGATACATTGATGTTGTCTTCTTCTGTTGGCTTTAATGTACTTAGTGGTGCATTGCCCCCACCGCCAGTAAATGAAAGTACTACAAAGAACCCTGTTAATTATGTGCAGTTATTTCACGAGTTTTGTTATATACTCCTCGAAAAAATTACAGAGGTCCGGACTTCGGTGACCTCAATGGTGGGTACGGCCATGGGCTCAGTGATATACTATAATACATAAATAGTTAGTCTACCTCTTGGTCTAAAAAACTAAATAGAGCCATGAATCCATCAGTGCATAGAACATCTCTTTTGAAATGTACATTTTCTCTTCATTTTTAACATATAAAGTCTCCTTTCTACTGACAATGTGCACATTTATAACAGCAAAGGCCCTAGAAGCTAATAAAGTGTGTTGTTGACGGTGACTTTGACCTCGCTGACTCTCTGGTTTGTTTGGAGGCTGCTGAGCGGCTGTCAGCCAAATGAACCGCTCTCATTGTTTTTCCACACAAACACACTCGGCTATATCGGTCGGGAAAGCAAGCACAAATCCTCTGAATGAATTCATAGAAAATCTGCCAAATATCTTCACGCCGTCCCTCTATTTGTGGAAATCTGTTTTTGATTCAGCACCAAGCCTCGCTGTGTTTTCTAATTAAAACCGGAGTGATTCAATGAAAATACAGCACATATTCTTGTCAGCACTCTTGCTTGTATATGAGGAATCTCAAAAGGTGATCTGTGTTTTTAGTCCAGATAACAGGAGACTCAAAGTTGGGTTTGAACGGACTTTTGATCACCATGATTTTCTTAGTTAAGAATGTACCCTAACAAATAGATATGTGGCTTTTTTCTGTAAATGTGCATGTTGTCATATAATAATAATACATTTTATTTTCAAGCGCCTTTCATGACACCCAGGAAATCATGGAGGAGACAGTCAAGTGGACACAAATGAAAACGTATAATGGGGAGTACAGTGAGTAGGCAGATTTGAACAGGTGGGTTGTGAATGCATCAGGAAGTCCTGTAATCACTTTCCTCCCTTAAGAAAGGTCAACTAAGAAGCTTTGCCTTCATTTACGTCTAAAAAGTGTGTTTTTTGGTGTGTTTTTTCAGAACAAGTAACAATAACATCCACTTTTTTCCCCAAAAGCATTGCGAAAAACTAGGATATTGAACTCCTACGGTAGCTGAGTCTGCGTAAAATGAGAAAACTTCACATTTTGATCACTTATAAATAATATTCACCAATAGTTGTATCAATTAGAGAATTTACGGAATGGCTTTTAAGATAAGATGTACTTTATGAATCCCAATTTGGGAAACAAATGTGTAATATTACTTTGATTATACCCTAAGAGTGTAGTTTAAAAGTGAATTGCTTATGTGGCTTTCTGGCATGTTGGATTTCGGGGGCTAATATGTAAACACTTCATAAACTCTGTTCTTATCAGCATGTAATAACTCATCACCAAGTGTGTGACACAGAAAGAGCAGCACCATGGACAGCTCCCAGATGCATTCACTTTCACAGTTACAAGGGATGTAAGTCTTTTAGTTCACATCAGTGATTCATTCTATTTGCATGGCTGCTTGGAGATTATGAGATCTAACCTTCATATGTTCTAACACGTGTCATATCTACGTGGAAAAAGGGCTTTTAACAGATGTTCAAAGACCGAGGTTCATCTTCCAAGTGGCAATTATCTGATGCAAGAGAGGTAGCAAACACATGTCACACACACTGTTCAAAAAAATTAAAAAAGCGGAAATATCACAAGTGTAATTTGGAATATTTAACACCCAAAACATTGCATTGGTGATCCCTGAAAACGTGTGGAACTTTCTAAAGGAACCCCCCTCCTCAAAGCCCGCCTGTATCCTCCTCTTGCCCCCCTGTATCCTCCCTATGGGGAAATAGAGCTGTAAAAGATGCCCCCCCCCCCTCCTTTATTCCCTGTCGATCCCAGCATCCCCTGCTGTCCCTCAGGACTCTCGATATGTGTCCATGTTTCCAAAGCGGTGTCTGAGCTTTCATTGACGTCAAAAGCTTCAGGCTGGATGTATAAAGCCTTCGTCCTGCGGTCTTAGCTCACAGGAACTCTGCAGACTCCGACCCGAGACCCACAAAGTTCAGCTGCAGCTTCTGGAGACACTGAAGTGAGTACAGCAGCTCCTATTCACTCTTTGTTTGTATTCAAAGTTTGTAGAATTGGACGTTATTGATGAAATGAGAAGATGGCGGGAACAATAGCTTACAGTGCAGGCAGCTCGTCAGCTTGTGTCCTTTTAGAAATCCTCTATTCATTTGCTTATTCTTATGTGAACTCTTTTAATTTAGAAGCCTTTTTGTATTGTTTTGATGCTTTTCAGTCAAGTCAAAGTTCCTGCCAATATCGTATTTTGTTTCTTTTTGTTTCTTGCATGAAAAGCGTTTATGTTATGCACAAGATAACATAGGCTACTTGGATAAGCTGTCATTAGCCTACACAGTGCTTATGTACAACTATAGTAGTTATAATCACCCTGAATGCTATTACCATTTTTTTTTAAATAGTAAATGTTTTTGTTTTACAGGTTTCGCATTTGTAGTTTAGTTGATTTGTGCATTTCAAACTGTATATATGCAAAAGGTTCATCACTCTGGAAAAGCTCAAAAAGTGCGCGACAAAAAGTGTGTTTATGTTATCCCCTGATTCTGTAATACAGTGTTTGTACGTTGAGTCAATAACCCCCTCTGTCTGCAGGACATGAAGCCGGTGCCCCTGCTCCTGCTCCTCTCCTCCGTCCTCCTCTCCTCGCACCTCCGCCCCGCCGCCGGCAGACCGCGCGTCCTCCCCGGCTGGCTGGATTACAGCAGCCGCCTCCAGATGCAGCGCCTGGAGGAGTCTCTCCTCAGAGCAGCTGTAGCCGGGGAAAGCACCGCATCCTCGGATCTACTGGACGAAAACATCCTGCGGTTCCTGGAGAGCAGACACCCGGACCTTCTGCACCTGCTGCCCGCTGAAGAAGGGGAGGTGAGGGCGGCGGTGCATCTGCTGAAGAGGAGCGAAGACCCCCCGCTGTCCATCGACCTCACCTTCCACCTGCTGAGGAATATGATCCAGATTGCGAAGGTGGAGAACCAGCGGGAGCAGGCGCTGCTGAACCGCAATCTGCTGGACGAGGTCGGGAAGTAATTACGCTCTATTTTTGTATTCTAAATGCCTCATTCAAAACAGCCGCTGTGTTAAATAATCAAGACTTCTGACATTAGTTGTTGTTTGTGCGCCTGCCTTCCTCTCCACCTCGCCAACATTTTACGCACAGATGGTGCCAATTTACGCATCACAGCATCCGCGCGTAAAATGTGTTTTCTTTAAAGACTTTTTGATGGAAACGGACCTTCCAGACCCTCTTACTCCCTCCTCACCCCCCTGATCTCACCCTCCTCACACACTCCTCTTTGCACTGGACTTTGGAAAGGGAAACTGGATTTCACATTTGAACACTTTGATCGATGTTTTGATGCTTGAAGTGAAAATGACACCTGACCAGAATACATATTATTTATTTAATAATATTTAATATTAGACTCTGTTTTGAATTGGTTGACCTCAGTCTGAATACGTGGACCATTTTAATTAGTCCAGTTGTTTACCCCTGCAGCTAAACAAGTCTAATGTAAGGTGCATTGTGGGTAGTTGGCTTGCCACCAGACATAATTGATCGGATGCCTTGGAGAAACTTTTCTACGATATTAGAACAATCTTCATCCACCAACATAAGGATATCTTAAGTAACTTTACTCTGAGGAATTCAGACCTACTTTATGCATTTCCCAAATAATGTATGCTAAATTATTACAAGTTAATCTTATATATTGTGATCCTTCAAATGGATACGGTTATATTAAAATGATGTAACTACAATGATAGTAAGTTCTTTTTTTAAATCCTCTTCCCTATTTGATTATTTGAAAAAAGAAGATTCTGTTACAACAAGACTGGCCAAATTGAGGTGACCTTTAAAGTGACGATTCAAGTCATAATTACCCCAAAACAGAAGCTCGGCAGGATGTAAAATCACACGGCGGGAAACATTCAAAACCCCTGCTATGGAAATCAAACATTTCTGTGTCTTTGTTTTAAAGCCAATTTGATGACACTTAATGTGAAGGCATGTGTAATGATCTGAGGTGCAAGGAAAGACAACACGCTTTATTGGTTTTAAATCTACAGTTGTCATTTCTCCCCTTCCTTTAATCCTCCTGTCTCCTTTACGCTGCGCGGGAGCACGGTCACATGTACTGTATGAGCTGTAGCATGCTAACCTACAACAAAAAGAAGAAAAAAAGCTTTTTTTATTTATCATTTACGTCACTGAAAACATTGTTTTAGCAAAAGAAGAAGAAGATTTTTTGCCATTTATATTTTGTAATAAAAAAGTTTGAAGTAAAAATCATTGTATTCTGTTATTGTGCCGATTATACATTTTAAAATACACATTTAGTGACGGATACAAGCGGCCAAGATGGGTTTTCTCCGCAGGGTGGCTGGTGTCTCCTTTAGGGATAAGGTGAGAAGTTCGGTCATCAGGGAGGGACTCGGAGTTGAACCGCTCCTCCTTCGCGTCGAAAGGAGCCAGTTGAGGTGGTTCAGGCACCTAGTTAGGATGCCACCTGGGCGCCTCCCTAGGGAGGTGTTCCAGGCACGTCCAGCTGGGAAGAGACCAAGGGGTAGACCTAGGACCAGGTGGAGGGATTATATCTCTTCGCTGGCCTGGGAGCGCCTTGGGATCCCCCAGTCAGAGCTGGTTGATGTCGCCAGGGAAAAGAAAGTTTGGGGCTCTCTGCTGGAACTGCTACCCAGAGACCCGACCACGGATAAGCGGGAGAAGATGGATGGATGGATTTAGTGACTGATGTTGCGACTGCTTTAGTGTCATCCAGTGTTTTTCAACTTCTAAAAGGATCCTTAGTAAATATAATACTAAAGATCAAAACACTGGAAGCAGAACATTTACCTTAAAATGCCGTTTGTATCCAGCTCATCCATTGGTTCAACTTTTGTTCATTCAAAAATAAAGATTAAAATCTCAACACCTGCTCGCCAGATTTCCCCGGATATAAGTTTGAAAGACGAGGATGACTCCCAAAAAAAATGAATAATGATTCAGAAAAGAAGATGAGGAATAAACCCGCTCCACCATCAAGTTGAAAGTTGATGACAAAATGTTTCTAAAACTAATTATTTATTCAAAGTGATTTCCGTTCACTCTGATTTGGATCCTAATGGCTTCTTTCTGATCTGATGACACTCCTCTAGTGCCATCGCTCAACAAATCCCCCTTACGGCCCCTAAACACGGCGGCGTGCGTTGAAGCTTCAACGCTTCTGCCCATTCACTTTGAATGGGGTGACGCCACGCTTTACCGAACTGCATTGTAGTTCCGTCGCTTCGCTTTGTTCGCTTCAAAAGTTGAGCAATGTTCAACTGTGGAAGCTTCGGCTGAAGCGTCAGCCAATCAAATCATATAGTACAAGCTCTAGCCAATCAAAGCGCGTGCTTGTGGGTCCGGGGCGGGAGATTCATGTGATTGGTTGTTGGTCGAGTTTCAGACACGCCCGCCGGCAAGCTTCAACGCACGCCGCCGTGTGGACGCTGCGTTATAGACGCTGCGTTATAGACTCTAAGAATTGTTGAGATAACACGGCATGCTTATAAGGAGGTTCACTATTTTCCTAATTCTCTCGGTTTTTTGGGAAATGTTCTGCCTTGTTCAGGTTTTTCAGTGCAAAGACAGTCAGGATATTAGGGAGAAGAGGAAGACGTGTATTCACTAGTCAGACTGTTGACATTGAATCTATCCGCCATTTAATTGTAATGACTTTCCTCCAAAGCCACACAGGACAAACTTGATGTCGACTAGTAGGTATTGCCAATTTAAGACCAATGCAAGGAACTCAGATTTAAGTATTTTGTTCCCTTTTCACTTTTTGTTGTGACGTTATCATGGCCACTGAAACATTTTTTAGGATGCATTAAGTTTGAACGCTGAGACAGGATCAACTTTAATGTCTAAGTTGTTGAAACAGATAAAAAAAGAGAGAGGAGAGAAACACCCAAATGTCAAAATGGCCTCTGAGTTCTTTGTTTCTGTGACTCAGTCCAAACTGTGGGTGTGTTGGTGATTTTTCTGCCTTATCACCATCTGTGTGTGTGTGTGTGGCCTAGCATTACTATACTTGTGGGGACCTAAATCTGTTGGGGGGACTCGCCTCCCTTATGGGGACAAAATGGAGGTCCCCATGAGGGGAATCATTAATTTTAGGGTGAAGACTTGGTTAGGGTTAGGCATGTGTTGGTTATGGTTAAGGTTAGGATAAGTCTCCAGGAAATGCATGTAAGTCAATGTAATGTCCCCTGAAGTGATGCATACATGGTAGTGTGTGCGTGTGTTTGTGCGTGCGTTTGTGTGTGTGTGCGTGTGTGTACTCTGTGAATCTGCAGAGCGTTTGTCTTCAAAATCAAGTAATGTAACCACTTGCTTGTAAAATACTTTAATGTTACACAGCTGTTGCACGAAGACATGTACACATACAGTATGTCCAAGTTCTTTTTTTATATTCTTGAATGTTTTACAAAATCCCAGGATGCAGACGTGTTTTCTCGCAGTAAAGGAGGCTAATCCTGATTTATTTGCACTAAATTTCATCTCAACGCATCAAATATTTATTTTTCACATTTCTGTCTGAAACATTACAAAAACAACATTCTGAGATTATAGGGACTATTTTCAGCAGCGGACTAATCTACATGTGTTGCTCTGCTGAGTATTTACGGTGGCATCTCTCTTTTGTTTTTCAGACACCAATGGAGTCAGACTGAAGAGGAAGAAGATATATCACTTATTTGATACACAGGATTATTTTGTATTTGTGTTTTCAATAAGAGAAATACAGAATCTCTGCAGCCCCATCCTTTAACATAGCAGTCATGACAAAACGTTGCAAATATAGAGACGGGAAATCTGTTAATATACACATGGATCATTTTCAAACAACCCCCCACAGTCCAACACACAAAGACAATCATTTGTAATAATAAAAAGCTTATCTTCCCCCTCATTCAGCTTTACATCCTGCTTACTGGTATCTCCTTCTCCTGTTTGATGACAAATGGCCGACAGGTGCACCGTGTGACTGCCTTTCAAAAAGAGCCATGGTTTTTTCATTGACAAAAAAGTTCAGAGAAAAAACGACAACGCTTAATCTCAAAGAAACCTCTTCAACGATCGGCTTTAATCCCCACATTTCTTTTTGTTTGATTGTATAACATCTTAAAACATCCATAAAGCCGTGGTATTTACGGAAGCCTTTTGTGACAGAAAGTTATATAAGGGCTTTAGATCCTGTAGAGAAGGACACACATGAACACGTCAGTTTACTTTCCCTCCCACATCACAGAATACAGTCGTAAATCCACCGTATACATTTCCGGAGAAGGATATATTTAAACACAATACACTGGATTTTTAAATGTATTTCAAAGCACAAAAGGCAACATTGTGGGAGACTAACATCCGACCAAGTCCATCTGCTGGCATGCCGCCTTCTGAGGGAGGAAACACGGATGCAGAATGTATAGAAAGGTATGTTTCCATCTATTATTTACATTTATTTTTCTCCATGTTGGTTCATTCCCTCTTGAGGATTTCTTGCAGAGGATTATGGGTTATTTATTTCCGTCTCTCTTTTTCTACATGTTCTTGCAGAGAGGACCTCGAGTAAAGGAAACAAAAGATGAAATATCATGAGATCAGTGTCACCGTCCCACGCTAAAAACAATCACAGTGACTCTCCAGCTGCTCGGCCTAAAGTCTCAGCTCTGAGGAGGAGGAGGATGCTGTTGTTGTTGGTGTTGAGTCAGCATGAAGACACTTCCTCGGAGGATGAGGGGAATCCTTCGTCCTCTTGCGGCTCTCTTTTACGTAAGTGGTCTTCACACATCCCCTCTGTTCGACACTCTGCTGCTGACTTCAAACTGTGCATATTTACAACCATGACAATTCATCAGCAGAGACACAAGAACATCTACAGGCTCTGACACATCGGCACCGCTTCAGTTTCAGATTCATTTAGCATCTTCAGAAAGTTGTGTATCTGCAGCGTGTTTATTAAAAGACTTTAACTGGTATGCCTCTCTAGAGACGTTTGTGTCTTTTTAAAGGGACCAAAGATTCATAATTTCAGTGTGCAGAGCATGACAATAACGGAGCGTCCACACTACAGCTTCAAAAAAAGCTTGGAGCTGGGCGTGTCTGAAGCTTGGGGATGTTATTCAAGCAACGCGACCAACAACCAATCACATGAATCTCCCGCCCCCGACATACAAAGCAAAATCCCCCGGGGATTTTATGGGAGCAATATATATATATATATATATATATATATATATGGTGATTTGCTACGGCGATAATTAGTTTCTCCTCCATCTTTTTTTGAAATATAGAAATGAACGGCGGGATATCTCTCCCAGCTTGGACGCGGTTTGATTGGCTACGGCTTGAGCTGTCAGATTTTCCGAAAAGGGATTTGATTGGCTGGCGCTGGCTACTCCGGCGTCTCCGGCGTCAGAAGTTGAACATCAACTTCTGACGGCGGAGACGGACCGCTATGCTACCCACAATTCAGTACGGCGAAAAAAAGCGGCAACGTAACGTCACCCCATTCAAAGTGAATGGGCAGATTGAAGCTGTCGACGCTGTAGTGTGGACGGGCCGTAACTCAGATCAAACTTGTTAGTTTTATTAAGAATGTCAGAACAACATGCGGGTACATGTGTTCAAAAGTAATTATTTAGAGTTCATTTAGACAATAGTTACTGTTTCCATTACTCATGTCTCTGTTTTGTATCTGGTCAACATCAGTGGTTTAGACCTGCAGAGCTCTGCTGCTGCTGCTGCTGCCGCTGCTGCTGCCGCCACAGCCACAACAACGATAGTTACGGCTGTAACTACGGTTCTATGAGTCCCGGATGACCGCCAGAGGCGGTGCTTTCAACACTGGATATGTCCATCGCGCGAATGCGCAGCTCGAGTACCAATACCAACAAAGTCACCTGTGACCCACGTGACACCGGCTATATCAGCTGGTGTGGTCAGAGGATCTGTTCCCAGAATCTTCTCGCGAGCACACAATAATTCTGAGTGACAGGGAACTCTGGTGGTCATCCGGGACTCATAGAACCGTAGTTACAGCCGTAACTATCGTTCTATTTCGTCCCTACTGACCGCCAGAGGCGGTGCTTTAAGCACTGGATGACTTATACCAACAATGTCATGAAGAATCTAAGCCCTTGCTCACCACTGGAAACAGCGGAGCTCGGCAAAAGGACCACGCCCAAAGAATGGGGAGTGGCGACATTGACCTGATGACAACTGGAGAATGTGCCAGAAGA